ACCAAGAGGATGACGCTTGCCGACTATGTCGATGCCGATCCTTTTGGCGCTGCTGCAGACAGCGTGTCGAATGGTCTTTTCTGTGGGGGATGGGGTCGGAGTTGGGGAACCAAGAGGGCTTTCGCTAATGAAGCCATAAAGATATGTATTATTCCATAAATTTAACAAATCCCGTCTTTGACACCCACACACAGACCACGAGGGTCGCAGTGGACCCTAAGGTGGGTCTAAGGAAAAGACTGACGTCCTGATAATCTGGCCCAAGTTTATGCATTTGACGACGGGAAATGCATTTAATTTTAACCACAATTAGCCACGCAAAAGGGCGAAAGGGAATTCGAGGAAGGTGCGATCGGGGGCGTTCCCCGTGCAGATTATGGCCAAGAAGAGTTCTTTTCCTTATTGCTGGCCCTCGGCAATCGCCCGGCACCGGCTGTCTCTCAAACGCCTAACAAGGTGTCAATATCTTAAAAATTTTATCTTTCTGCACATAAAACTCAAGCGGATCATAGTAAATCAGCCTTTGGTCAGGCAGACGACTGCGGTGCCCGCTCTTAGAGTCAAGTTAGCCACCATCTAAAGGCCTTTATGCCGTGCTTGCCCAGCCCCGTCCGATCCGCAGTCGAAGCCCAGTTCGCGATCGCTGCTGACCCCACCACACCCCACAGCACAATGGCCTGCCAGTTTCCCCAGCTCCTGACCAATGGGGCGAGCTATGTGCCTTTTATACGCCGGATTTACGAGCAAACTCTCCACGTCGTCATCGCCGTCGGAGCGTCGTGGCAAAAGAAATATTCGATGGCCAGGCAACGATTAAAACGGACGCTTCACGCATGCGCGCTCACACACAACGGCAGCGCAGGCAACACTCTTGTACTAACTCCGATACTTGCACTTGCATTTATATGCATTCTGCATAATGGACTTAAACATTCAGGGGGGCGCACAGCAGAGGTTGGCGTCTTAGGATTTCCCAAGAGGATTTCAGAAGAAATATTATTATTATTATATTATTTCATTTCCATCAAAATTCAATGGTTTTGCTAAGTTTAAATTAATGAATAGAATAAAGGAAAGTGGCGTTAGCCAGATTAGTAATAGCTTAATCTCGATAGCTAAAGTCAAAATGATATTATCCTTTTCATAAATCAGAAAGTATTGGAAAATATCCAAAAAAATGGGATTATCCTGATACCAATTGTTTTACCAAATGATAAGGCTAACATTATACTTGAAAAAGATTTTAGTTTGGTATTTAGTAGCTTCTTTAAAGCTGTCTTACTTAGATATTTTACTTATAAATTAGCTCTGCATTGATTAGGATTGCAACTTCAACACCTATTTACGTGTTCAGCACTGTGAGTTGCAAGAGAGCGAACTCCTCTGGTGAGCAATGTTCACTGGGTGTTTGGCCTGGCAGCATTTGCAACACCAGAAACAGCAACAGCAACAGCAACAGCAAAAGCCAGAGCGGCATCCCAGCATCGTCAAGAGCATCGAAGGGGTCGGGATCGCTCTTGGGATCGAAGGGATGCATGGGGGATTCGGATTGGGGCGCATCATCATGTGCGCATTGCACGCACGTGATTAAAGCGCAGCCCCGTCGCGAAGGAGGGGTATGGTATGGGCAGGGGGACGAGGTACTGGCCAAGAGCCCGCTTATAAATCAGAATTCGCTCTTTTGGGGACGACAATGAACTCGGCTGGTATGGTGGCAAACGGAGGGGAAGGGGAAGGGCCAAGGAACCGCACTACATATTGGTAAATAAATAAGATCGCCAAGAGGCTTTGTCTCTGGATATTTGGTATCTGAGCCCTGTTCATTCCGCCGGTTGTAGGTTCAATGCACTTGACCAACTGGTTTCAATTTAAATTTCAAAATGCATCCCCGAAGATTTACGCGCGGCATCTTTCCTTGTTCCAAAAAACTCGCCAATCGAAATGCCCGAAAATTAATTGCCCCCGTAGAATTATGATCGGAAACATTCGCAAATCTTCGGCAGCTTGACACTTGACCCAGACGGCGCCGGCTTGTCTTTGGCAAATAAATTAAGGCGCTTAAAAAAGAGCCGCCAGCAACGGTCCGGCTCGATTATCCGACACATTTTTCGCTTCCCAAGCCAACTGTCGGCACTTCTTTGGGTTCTAATGCTGGTCCAGGTCCCATGTTTTGGGTTCCAGGTCCAGGTCCGAGGTCCAGGTCCGAGGTCCAGGTCTCGGGCCAGACATTCAAATCACCCGGAATCAATCAACTTCGGGCAGGACTCGGAGCTTCGGTGCCGTCGCTTCACTCCACCAAAGTAATACTAGCCCCTCCATGCGATGAGTTCAAAGCCAGCTCCGTTCTTTCTCCTTACGAAATCGTGAAAATATTCTAGGCCCATCGAAAAGGCAAGCAAATAAATTTGAATAATTTTTAACCATAAAGAAAGTTGATACACAGGGTGGATAATGAGATCGCTACAGCCAAGGCAAAAAGGTTGATGGATGAAAATATTAAAAAACATGGCTTAGAAATTAAAATAGAAGACCAAAAAATATGAGTTAAGGGAATATTTATTTTAGGTTAATTATAAAAAGAATCTTACAAATGTTAATCTATAATAGCTTATGGTCAACTGACCTTAGACCTGAAGTACCAATCCAGCTGAGCTGATCAAAATGAACCAACTTTTTGTCCAAGGTGTGGCCCAATTGACTTTTGGCCTGCGCACGAGCCACAGGGTTGCCTTGATCTTGTGCCCAGTCAGGGGTTATTAACGCAATGTGTCTCGGGTATGTCGTGAAACCCGATCCGGCGGTTGGGAGAAAGGCAAAACGTAATATAAGAATGCCTTTTAATTAGCTAAGATCGCTCTAAGACCGCAGGATTACATAAAGCACTGTTAGCGAGGGGAACTTTCAGTTTGGCAAGGCCAACAGGCAAGTGACAGCTTTAATTAAACGGATAATGGCCAGTAGACACCGAAGGCTTGCCGAATAATCGCTGGCTTAGCTAAAACAAGGATTAGGCACAACCTGAGGAGAATTTCATTTCCCGGAGACAAGTTCTAATTGAAAAGTTCATAAATTACGCTGCATCATCATCCCTGCTCGATTCGTATTAAGAAATCCGCCTGAATGTCTCTCTCCCAGATTAAATCTACAAAACGAACAGGTATAGCGAAACAGGTACGCACATACGCTCGGATCGCTCAAGATCATGATCATGAGCAGAAGCCGGAGCTTGAGTTATGGTCGGTTATGGCGAATCACAAATTTGACTACGCGCTCATTTATACGAATTGTTTTTTTCCGACTCTGTGTCGGGGCATGTCGAAAGGTTATTTACCCGCCTTCATGTCAATACAGAACGCAGATTGCCCGGCCAGACCCTCGCAGATCTGATCGTCACTAACGATACCGTAAGTCGGGGCGGTGGGAAGTTTACTCGGCCTCAAAGGTAGATAGGTTGGTCGGTTGGTTGGTGGGGGGGTCAGCTAACATCGACACGATCTACATAACATTTGTTGCGCTAATGGCTGCGCATTGCGAGCCGCGCCAAATATGGAGATGAATGCGGAATGTCCAGTGGCCAATAAGGTTCCCTTGGTCTGGAGTACCGCTGTCACTCGACCGGAGGTATTACCAGAGGAATATTACAATCTGAAACTCGCCCTTATGGAACCTCTATGGTTCTCTATCCTCTTAGTCTTGATGATTTCCTAATTTTCCCTGATTTGTAATCTTGATATTGTAAAACTTCAGCGGAAAAATCAAGTTCTTATTGATAATCAAAGATCACAAATAACCAATGAATAATTTAAATAAATCCCTTGAGATTATGTGAGATACAAAGACTACTTTATGCAACACATTCTCTGATACATTTCTTTTTGCCCACTCATTCAGGTGCTCGAAACAGGGCCCAGTTCTAACTGTGGTTTGCAGAAAGCGCGCCCGAACACAATAATACTTAAGGAATCAGATCGCTGCCGTTGCCGTGTTCCTATTGCCGTTTCTAACGCTATTGGCGATGCCTTTCCCACTTCAACACTTTGTATATCGATATATCATTAGCGCTCTTTTGATTTACAATCGCCTTTGTGTGCGGATTTCGCTATTTCGCCTTTTGTTGGGTTGTTTTCGAGGAGAGTGGCTCTGTGAGGAGACCGCAAAAGCGGTTGGCTAATAGCTAATGGCTTATAGCACTTTCCTACCAGCCAAGTCGAGCAGCAGAGGCCATAAAGTGATATGCCGCATATGCAGAACGAATGAAAGTGTTCTCCATGCCGCGGATCGGTTTGAGTGTGGAACCTGGCCTAGGTTTGTGGATCGCGTTTGCAGATGGTTGCAACCGTCGATGGAGGAAAAAGTAGCAAGAACTCTTTTTTAAAATTAAAAGTAAAGCAAATGAATAGAAAATATGAACATAATTGTTAAGAATATTTAAGTATCAACATATTAAAATACTCCATTAACTTTTTGGTAAATTCAAATTCAGAGAGAATTCAGAACTTATAGTAATAAGAAGAATATAGTTCATAAGAAATTAGATGTTTGTTTGTTTTAAGTTAGTAGTGTTTAAGGTATGTTGCAAGTTAATTAAATAAAGGCGAGCCTTTATACCAATTACCAACATTTCCTTTTAAATAAATCTTCCTAAAAACAAGTTAGTTATAACCATTTCGATTTTCACAGCCTAAATTAAATTTAGTTCACCGAATTAAAGACATAAGATATATAACATATGCATGAATGTATACATTCAATTATGTTTGGAATAAATATTCCTTAATGTCTTATACAAGTGGGGACCTTTTTAGGGGTTAGAGACCAACTCCTTCCCACACTTTACCGCTATCGCGGTGCGTTGCTCTTAGCCGAGTTAGCAAACGCACATCGAACTCGAACAAGTGTTAGTTCGACTTGGCCGCCGTCAAACTGGTCTCAAACGACAAAGCCGGGCCAAAGTCAGACTTGCAGAGCCCGCCAGTCAGTTGCAGTTGGTCGATCGGAGCGAGCGGACGTTTTAGCGCGAGAATCGAGAAGGAATAGACCGCAGAACTGAGGATCGCAGCCAGCGCAGACTGAAGAATTTACGAGCCAACGATCGCGATCGCGTGTGTTGTGGGTTTGAGTGCGTTCGCGCAAGAGATGTTCCTCATTTGATCGGTTAAAGGTTTAGGGCAAAGAAGGGTCATCACAATCAATGGCCGGCAGACGCCACTTGCTGCTGATCCTCCTGCTGATCCTGCAGCTGATCGCCACCACGCCGGCGTCGCGCAGCCTAAGCGTGAATGGAAACAACATTTGGCGGCGGGTACGACTGGTGACCAGTCAGGAAACAGATCGCAATGCCTACCAGGTGCTCAAGCCGAGCAGCCGGAATGCCACCAGCACCACTACAAGTACCAGTACCACCACCACCAGCACCACCACTCCGGCAGCTCCTCAATCCCAGAGAACTGCTAAACAATTGGATCTCAATTTCCCAGGTGGCAATGTGTCGAGTGCAGCCCGCCTGGAAATGTCTACGGAATTCTTTGTGGTGCCCACACTATCAGCTAGTAGTTCCAGCAGCACCACATCCACCACAGCAGCCACGCCCCGAAGGAGTTTGGGGGCCAAGGCGAGAGCAGCAGGCACCACTGGCAAGGTGACTCCAGGAAGCAGCTCCAACAGCACACCGCCCAGCATAGTTTCTACCCACCTGCCCTTCACAGGGCTGCGCAAGGAGCCGTGGGTGGTGCCAGTGCTTGTTTTGGCCACCCTCACCATGCTCATGATGGCCGCCTTTGAGATTTTCGTGCTCTTTAAGGCCTGGCGGACGTCGCCTTCGCGGAGGCACCTTTTCCTGGGCCAGATGCTGCTGCTCGGACTGTTTGCCTGCGCCAGCTTAGGAGCTATTATCACTGCCCAGCCCACTTTGCTCAGCTGTGGAGCCATCCGCTTCGGAGTGGGTGTAGCCTACGCACTTGTCTTCGCAGCCCTGCTGGTCAAGTGCGTATTCCTGATCAGCCTCAATGGAGGCGTGTATCTGCCAGCTCCCTATCAGGGCTTGCTGCTCCTCTTCGCACTGCTCATCCAGGTGGCGATCGGAGGACAGTGGCTGCTCACCCAGCCCCCGGAGGTCTATACCACAAGTGTTCCTGTAATGGGAAGTGGTTTCCTCAGCACCACGGTGGCCTCGCAGACCAACTACTCGGCGCTGTTCTACCCCACGTCATATACCACCCTTGATGGAACTCCGGAGATTTACACCCGGATAGCTGCCGTCAGCACGGTTCTAATTCCACTCTGCAAGACGCAGTTCTCGGAGCTGCTCTTCTCACTGATCTACATTGTCTTCCTGATTGTCTTCATCGCCGTGCTGGCTATCAAATCGCGTGGAATCCGGGATAACTATCGTGAGGCCACCTACATTGGTCTAGCCATTGGTGGCGCTATACCCATCTGGCTGGGATGGATGCTGTGCGGGGTGGCCGTGGCCGAAAGGCACAAGGATGCATGCGTGGCCTTTGGCCTAGTGGCCACTTCCGCCACCGTTTTCCTGGTGATGTTCATGCCCAAGGGGAGACAACTGGCGGCTATGGGCAAGGAGGGACTTTACGTGGAGGACCGCGAGGAGCAGTTCAGCTCCCTGAGCCGTGCCGGATCTGGCTATTCGCCTTCGTTCTTCCACTTCAAGCCCATCAAGTACGGCGTGATGAGTGGCTGCGGACTGCCGAACTCCGCCTCTAACACAGGCCAAGGACTCAACTCCAAGCACTGCTCCAGTGCCAACAACGGAGGTGGTAAGTCCCGCTCCTATTACCTACCCTACAGCAAAGTTTGTCACAATTTCTGCCGCGGGCACTTGGACCCGACTCAAGCTGGATACAGTTCCATTCCGACCTCCTCCCTACTGATCTTGTCAGCTGTCAGCCTCTGTTAATTTTGTAATAACTTTCTTTTCTTGCCTCATGTGCGCAGAGGGGGCGGGGCTGGCAACCTCTTGAACTTTTGTTTATCCATTTGTCCGCTCTTTCTAAAAGCAAAAGCAAAGTTGGGGAGAAGAAAAAGCAAAAGTCTTAACTTTCAAAGACTTTGAGCCCCAGCAGACGGTAGCCGAGTCACAGTGGTTAGAATGGTCACTAAATGGGGCTAAAAATTTAAAATATTCTATACTTTTAAGTTAATTCGAATAGTTACTCTTGACCAGGAGTTTTCCCTTGGGTTAAATCTTAATGTCTATATTTTGTCTATGACTTTTCTGTAAACAAGCCTTGTCAATATTTCCCTTTTCACTGCATTTTCCAATTAGTTTGAATCAAATTATTTCAAAATGAAGTTTCATCTTTTAATCAATTCCATTGAAATTAATCAACTTCTCTGCAACAACTTTTGTTTTCAGTTCCATTGCCAATGCCAAATAAGTAATCATACATTTTCCCAAACCGCGCCCTGTCATTATTTTCATTTTCATTGCTTATGCATTTCTTTTCCAATTAGTATGTATGCCGATTTTCCATTTGCTCCGCTTCATTTGCTTGTATGCAAATTTGCGCGCTTTCATTTCTTCGCCGCCGCCGATTGTTGGCAATCTTTCGCGGCGAATTCGCGTAACTCACAACCACTGTGCGTCGGCATTAACTGGGCTTAAAATTGTTTTGCCGGGCCGTGTAATTGTTCGGCATATTAATTTTCCGACGTCGCAGTCGCCGTGTAAGCCAAGTGTAAAAAGAGCACACATCCAGCGATCCGTCCATTTGTCTTTCAGCTTTCGTTTTCATTTTCATTTTCGGTCTGAGAACGTCCAGGTTCGTGGGTTAGGTCTCTGATTAGAGATCCGCTGGATCTATCATTTGGCTTAAATCATTTCTGGGGATGCGAATAGAGAGATCAAGACCGCTGAAAATGTATTATTCGAAATTTTACATCTGGTCATTAGCCGGTGTTAAATGTCATGTCAGGCGGTGTGGAAGTGGTCACAACCTGTCCCCAAACGAAATTCGCCCGGCTCATTGTCAAAGAGCAAGTGAAACGAGTCAAAGCCAACAAATCTCGCAGAGCCAACAATACGAGCTGACTTTGCAATTTTGGCAATTTATGAACCGCCTGACAAAAACAATATTTTCGGAATTTGTATCTCTTGTGGTTATTAGTTTTTGTTTTCCTTCTTTCTAAACAATAACAAGCCATAAAAGGCTTTAAACTATTTCAGCTTTCTAATGAAAGCACAAGCTGAGTGGTTTATGTGTGTGGCAAAGTGGAAAGATATGGGGAAACTCGGGGAAGCAAGGGTGCCCAAAGGGGGTACTTCGAAATGTGCGTGCCAAAGCCATGTAACACTTTACGTAATTTAATTAAAGTAAATACATCACAAATGTATGATTACAGCAGTCAGCGAAAAGCTTTTCGAATGGAAATGGGACAGGAAAACTTGGGGTAATTCAAGTGGAAAACGAATCAGAAATGCTCTGTGAAAAGCGTTGGGCAATTTGGGGAAATCAATTAAGTTAGTTGAAAGTGAAGTCTGTATAAAAAGAGCACTAAAACGAAAACAAAAACTCTCCCAATATCGAATTAGAACATGATTTTTTTAAGCTGTTGTTTAGCCAAACCTCTATAGAAAACAAAGTACCTAATAATTTTGGTAGTGTACAAGAGCGGCAGTAGCTTACCAAATTATAACAATGCGCTGGTAGGCCAAAGTAGGAAGCGTTTTACATGGCAGCTACTTGACGACGACTCCAAATCCAAATCTGACTCGGGCAGGACAAAAGCCGGGGTGCAGCTGGAACTTTGGGCAAAGCTGGAGCCGAATCTGGAGATGGAGCCACGGCCCACAAGCTAAAGTGCCTGTGGGCAGCCCGGGCTCAGACTGAGCCTCAGATTCCGACTTCAATTCCAATTCCACTTCCAATTCCGACTCAGTCCTCTGAACTGAAGAAAGCCAGCAAGTGAGGCAGCCAGCGACAGACGGAATATAGGTAGGTTCGAATATAGATAGATAAATGAGAGATATAGTGCTCTGGCCCCGGCTACACATATATACGTCAAACTGTCTGCAATTGAAAGTGCATTTGAGGGGTAACAGAAATCAACGACGAACGAAAAACCAGGCAGCAGGCAGAAACCTTAAGAGCAAAAGACAAATGTCTGGAGACACACGGAGTACAGCAAAATCAAAGTAGGCACAGAGCTTAACAAGCAAAAGGAGCAAACATCAGCCGAGAGCTGCAATCGCTGCCATTATCGTACCCAGACCCATACCCATACCCATTCCCATACCAATGCTATACTTCAGCCCATAACCAAACCCGATCCAATCCAATCCGATCCGATCCAGAAACATGTGTGTGGGTTGTGTAGTTGTCTCGCAAACTCTTCGACTGCGACTCCAACTCCGACTTCGACGTCGACTTGAGCCAGGCTGAGTGAAGTGAGCCAAAGCCAGCGACAGCAAGGGTTCCGGCTTGATTAAGGGCACAGAAAGAAAAAACTGGAGCTGCATGTGGGCAGCTGAACATTTACATAAGGCGATGAGGCAAGAGAAAAATCAAAAGTTTTTCCCTTTTTTTCGTGCTATTCCTCTGGCTGATTGAAGAGCAAATGACTTAGGCAACGAACTTGATTCGTCTGGGGAGTTGACAGGTTAAGGAGAATCAAATTATTGGATGTCTTGTCTCTGGAGTAAGATGCCTTCCATTGCTAAGGTTCTTGATCATCTCTAAGTCATTTACTCAGGCAGGAAATTCAAATTGGTGTACTTAAGGCTGTAAACAAAGAAAACCTGCCCTTAGACGACTATTCACTATTCAAACAACTTCAAATAGCAATTCTAAAAACCAATTAATTTACCAAAGAAAACAAATATAACAGTGACTTGTCTGTTAAAACACTTTCTCTAAAATCTTAGATCTACCTTACTGCCAGCTTTGAGCTTAGTTTTACGATTCAAACAGAAATAAATAAATAATTATTTAATAAAAACCAATATCTTACTCCATAAAAGTCCCAAAGAACTGCAATGAACATAAATCATAAATTTATGTGCCCCGAATTGGGAATCCCACAATCGGTAAACCAAAACCGCAGGAGAATCGAAAGATATTTCCAATAAATCCACAAGATCAAATTTCCTGCCAAGCCTTCAAATGCAGGCACTCACACTCAGACACATGTGTGTGGGGTCGTAGGCAGTAAGCAGTTCGGCACATAATTCACTGAACAATTTGCAACAATAAACTAAACGACAGCTAACGGCGTTGACGCCAAGGAATGAGTCGGGCCAAGAGATTTCAGGGCAAGGGCAGGGACGGATCAGTGGACCGGGGGAAAGGGCGCAGTCAGAGGCCAGCAGCTCTCGATGATTGCCGCCATGGAGTCAAAGTCGAAGGCGAGGAATGAACGCAGATTGACAGCTTCAGCTTGGCCCTCTCTTGCACACAAAAAAAATTAGATCAACTTCAAAAGGAAAACCCCATATCATGAACCAGTTTTGGCTAAATGGGGCTTTGTATAAAGAAAGCCCATTTGTATTATGAGAAGTGAATACGATATGAACATGATTGCTCTATCATTCGTTACAAATAAACTCATTGTCCTGCAAGAAAGTAATGGGGGGAAATCAAGCAAATTAAAACAATTAAAAAACCTTTAAGCATCCTATTTGATAAATAATTCCCTAATTTATATCTAGAGTAAAAGTTTGGATTAATGCGACAGTAATAAGTTTCTACCCTATGAACAGAACTACATAACAAGTTCGCTTCCTAAGTCTTTCGTTTTTCTCATGGTTATATGACTACTCAAAATCATATTCTATTTTTATTGGAAATGTGTTCTTGTAAAATAAATTAAAATAAGCATAATTTCTTACCGTGTGTGGGGCCTGTTTTGGCTGGATGAGGCCAAAAGGATGTCGTGGGGCTCGGCCGACTTAAGCAGTCCGTTGCCGCTGATTGAACGAGAGTTCAAGGTTGCCCAGGCTGCTTTAATTGAAGACGCATTGTTGTAAGCGCTTCGGGCAGCTGTCGACAACGAGCGGCGCGATGACAGGCGGAGCCACAAAAATAGATACTCGTACATACTTCCGTTGCCGCTGCGTGATGTTATCATTATACCCTTACCCCTGGGGCCCGACTGCTTGGTGGGGCAACTGCAACTGGAATCTGCGCGCAGATGCCTCCCGAGACGAGACAGTGACCTTATCAGCCAGCAGAGTGTCCCATCTTCGACTTGGCAGTGCCGCCACTTGGCCAGTTGGTCAGTAAGACGGGCCCATCAATCTGGGCATCTGCCAGCGGTCTTTGTTCTCCGGCGACGTCGCATTTTTTTGTAATTTTATTGAGTGACTTTATGCCAGGCAGCCACATACATAAAATCAATCATTCATGCCCGTGGAGCCGGGCAGATCCAAGCAGATCCGAGCAGACCTTGGAAGGTTAAAGCTTGTCGCTACACTCCCGAGACCCGTGCGGAAGTTTTTGTCTATTTATCTTTCATGTTTATCGATCGACGGGGATTTGTCAATAAAGAGCCCAGGGAGGCCACATAGCCATTTAACTGTGAACAGTCCAGAGATTGCTTTTGTATTTGTTATTTTTTCTATTTTCTGCACACTTGAGGACCTGAAGCTTAGCCCGAGCCGAGGTTTCGCGTGTTATTGATGGATACTTCCAAAAGGTTGCTTCATTGTCATAAACAAGTTGGAAGAAAGCTCATTTATGTTATGAGAAGTGAATAAATTATGGCCATGATTATTATAGATTCCTTCAGAGGAATTATTTTTTGTACACAAAAGTGATTG